GAAAAATAGTTTTCTGTTCCAAGTTGTCAGCACAAACTTGTAAAGCATAGTCAGTGTGTACGCTTATAACGATGATAAGTACGAAAGTGAATCAGGTATAAGCATACAAAAAGAAGAGAAACCTTGAAGAAGATGAGGGCAAATAGTATTAATGATGTACCTCTTAATCCATCACCAACCCAGACAGTCCTGAGCATTTGTGGAATGCTCTTTTGTCTCTGAAAATCAACAACTGAACAAGGTTAGAGACAATACACTCCAAGAATTGACGTTAAGAACACAATCAGGGTCTAAAGCACTGCAAGTGATATCTGCTTGATAATACCTGACTTGCATTCATAATAATTTGACTCTGAAGTCTAGTTTTGAGGGTATCAACGGGATGCATCATTCCTTCTCCAAAAGCTCCAGCTATTCCTCCCCATAGAAACTCTCTCCAAACTACATCAACGCGTTAGACTTTAGACTATTTGAACAGACTTTGAACCTAATCCATAAGGTTCCGATCATATGCCCAGTGAGCATGATCGGGATGTTCTCATCACAATCACCGGACGAAATCTCAACATTTCGTCGAGAAACTCATCGTCTAAGCGTAGTCATATGCATAAATCAATGTACAACGATTTCCACAGATTCGTTTACCGTCGCATAAACCTAAAGAGAGCGATGAGTGCAAGACGAGACTCGAGGCTTACCGAAAAATTGATCCTGCGTGGCTTTGATTTCGATGCTCTTACGGTAACTAAGAGAAGCTTGCTCGTGACTCGAATCCGAGCCCTTGTTCGCCATTTCCGTTGCAGAGAGAAGATACTGAATCTCTCGAACCTTCCAGAGAGTTAGGGTTTATGAGGTTTTAGTGAAAAGGCAGTGGTGCGCTTCTCGCGAATTCGCCGGACCGGCGACGAATACCAATTTGGGAACCGCAACAAGTTACTGATATAGTACATTAGTTTTTTAAAAAGGATAAAATTGTAATTTCGGCGGTTCGTTGGCCATTATCTTCAAGTTTGAAAGATCTTGTTAACTCATTGAATTAGCAGTCTCTCGAGTAGCAAATCTTCATTATGATAAACACATCTCTGCTAGAACTTATTACATTTCTTATTTTTTAGCCTCGAAATGTCAGAAAACGTTTAAAAAGCAAACCAAACAATAGAGAGGTCTCTACATGATAAACATTCAAAACAGAAATTACGAAACTTCCATAAGTTTAGTCTGAAACTGGAAAACAAAAGTTCCAGGACGCAAAGAGGCAAAGAGTATAGGCGGCGCAACATTGTGGAGATTAAGCTCTCTTGGCAACATCGCCGTCAACAGTTTGATCAAACCCATCTGGACCATTCTCTGTTTTACCGTTCTCTGAGTCGCCAAATTGATTGTCACCGCCACCAAATTGTTCATCACCGCCAAACCCGGTTTCAACCTGATGATCCGTATCATTGCCTAGTGGTTCGTTGCTGCTAAACTTGTCATCAAAGCCAGCATTAGAAGAACTTCCTTGCGCAAAATTGTCACTTCCCCCGACACCACCAGCAACACCATATCCACCGCCAAAGTTGCTT